TTCTTTATCTCTTCTGATTAGTTTTAGTTTAAAGTCTACTTTATCAGATATTAGAATTGCAATGCCTGTTTTTTTCTTAGTACCATTCGCTTGGTATATTTTTTTTCATCCTTTCACCTTAAGGTAGGGCTTGTGTATGGGCATGCGGGGATCTCGGGGTGCCAGCTGCTAGCGTGGCGCCGGTCTCCTGCGCGCACCTGGGAAGCGGCGGGTCCTGCGGCTCGTCTGCTCAGTGTTGCTGGCGGGTCCCTGCTTCTCCGCGTCTCTGTGGGTCTCTGCTACTGGGGCTGGCCAGGTCGAGTTCTGCCCCAATTTCACCCGTGCACTCTCTCTCTAAGTTAGGGACCCATCAGCTGCCGGGTCACGAGGAGAGGTGCGGGACGGCTGAAGCTGGATTTCCGTTAGTCGATGACGGAAGGATAGCGCCCCCTGGGGAGGCTGGATCGTAGGCAGTAAGACACAGAACTCAGCTCAGTCAGTGGTACAGCCCCTTTATTCAGTGACTCAACTCGCTCCAAGTCTTAGTGATCCAGCTCAGATTAATTGGGGGAAGCCAGGATATTTTATACTGTGGGGGTAGTGGTAAAAGCCTTAGCTGATAGGTACTTTTAGGATGCCTCATTTACATAGGGCGGTGGGCTTCTATCAGGCTATCAGACAACGCCTTATTAAAACCTGGTAGCTCCTGTGCCGGAGGGCATGTATTTGTGGCGAGCACTTTAAGAGAAGAGTCAGGGAGGATGCCAGGAAGGCACTCTGCCTGTCCGTGAAAGTGAGATGAGTTTCTTGCAGACAAAAAAGATGGGTTTTGTTTCTTAATCTATTCAGCTAGTCTGTATCTTTTGACTGGGGGGAGTTCAGTCCATTGATATTTAAAGTTATTAATCAAAGATGTGTATTGAATCCTGTCATTTTTATTTCTTTTCACAGTCTTGATATAGCTGTGCATTTCCACAGTTATACCTTCATTGAATTTCTTTCTGTAACTCCTTGAGTATAGTTGTTCCTTTCTTCAGCTCTTTGTATTGTTTCAAGAACTCTCTGAAGGGCTGTTTTGGTGGACATGAATTCTTTCAGCCTATTTACATCATGGAAGATTTTCCTTTCCCCTTCAACTATAATAGATATTTTGTCTGGGTAAAGTAATCTGGGTTGGCATCTGTGGTCAGTTAGAACTGGGAATACTTTGATCCAGGCTGTTCTGGCTTTCATAGTTTGCACTGAAAAGTCAGCTGTAATCCTAATGGGTTTTCCTTTATATGTGATTTGTGGTTTCTCTTTTGAAGCTTTCAGCATTGTCTGTTTTGTATGTTTAGTGTTTTTACTATGATGTGCTGTGGACAGTTTCTTTTCTGATCCCGTCTGTTTGGTGTTCTATATGTTTCTTGTATTTGTATGGGCATCTTTAATTTTGGGAAATTTTCTTCAACAATCCCATTGAAGATCTGTTCCATACCATTATCTTGAGATTGTTCTCTTTCCTGTAAGCCTATGATTCGTAAGTTTGGTCTTTTTATGGTGTCACACAATTCTTGCATATTCCATTCTTGTTTTTTTTTTTAATTTTTCAGTCTTTGCTTGAGTGGTGGTCTAATTGGTCCACTTTATCTTCCAGTTTTGATATTCTGTTTTCCATGTCATTCATCTTATTGGTGAGGCTTTCTCCTGTCATTTCTAATTGGCTTACTGAGTGTTTCACTTCCTTCTTCATTTCAACCTGAGTATTCTTCAGTATTTCTAACACTTTTCTGAATTCATTCACAAGTTCATCCCTATTGTCCTTTGGTTCTTTGATTTCTTTGTGTTCTTTAAATTCACTGAATTTTTTTTTATCATGTTTATAACTGTTCCTTTGAGTTCTGTGTCCTTTGTTATCTCTAGGGGATTCTCACTGTACTCCTCTAGAGGACTACTGGTACTTGGTGGGGATATATTATTTTGTTTTTTCATATTATTTTTTCTCTGTGCTTTGACATGTGAATTTCTTTTGTAGTTTCTGATTCTTGTGTAAGACTCGAGCGTTCCTTTGTTGAGTTTAGGCCTGCTTTTTTTGTAAACATTGTGTGCCTTTGTGGTTTACTTATTGGGCATGGCAAGCTGGTTGATCTAGGCTTCAAGTTCTTTCTCTTTTTTTGGGGGGGGTCTTTTTGAGACAGGGTCTCCCTATAGCCCCAGCTGTCCTGGAACTATGTAGACCAGGGTGGCCTTGAACTCGCAGAGATCCACCTGCCTCTGCCTCCTGAGTGGTGGTATTAAAGGTGTGCGCCACCACGCTTGGCTCAGGTTCTCTCTTTTGATTTTATATTGGAGTGGCCAAATTGCTTTCATCTTCAGGAGTTCCCACACAGTCCCAAGGTGTGGTGGGCCACAGGACCCACCCAGGAAAGATGCTAGCACCAGGAAGCTGGTTGCTGTGCCACCCAGGGAAGCAAAGGTAGGTGGGGGCAGGACCAGGCCTGGAGAGCTCCTGGGGACTGCAGGGAGGTACTGGGTTGGTCTGTATGCAAAGGATCAGGAAGTAGTGGTGGCTCTGGGCTGAGAGGTCAGCCCTGGTGTCTGGGGTGCTAAAACCAGAAATGGTCCAGTATGCAGGCTAGGAGGAGGGTCGTGGGAGCTGGGAGGGTGAATGAGGCTGGGGGAGTTAAGGCACATTGGACACTCGCTGGACTTACCAAGGAAAGATGCTGGCACCAGGATGCCAGAGACTGTGCAGTCCAGGGAAGCAAAGGGAGGTGAGGGTGGGACCAGGCCCAGAGGGCTCCTGGAGACTGCAGGAAGGGATTGGGTTTGTTTGGATGCAAAGGATCAGGAAGCATTGGGGATTCTGGGCCTAAAGGTCAATCCAGGAGTCTGCAGTTCCAAGACAAGAAATGGGCCAGTACCCAGGATAGGAGGAGAGCTGGGAGGATGAATGAGGCTGGGGGAGTCAAGGCATGGTGGGCCACAGGACCCACCCAGGAAAGGTGCTAGCAGCAGGAAGCTGGAGTAACTTTTTTGAGGATTTTTGTACCTGTATTCACCATGGATATTGGTAATTTTTCTTTTTTGTAATGTTTTGCTTGGTTATGATCTCTCTTTAATTTCCTCCTCATCAAGACTTTTACCCCACCAATTTTGGCAGCCTCTACTGTATCTCCTTAGTACTCTCTGGTTGGGAAATAAACAAATTAGGAAATGCCCTTAGAGTAAAAGCCTATCTGACTGACACACTTCTCTTAGTGATGCTGTTCCCTCAAGTTTCCAGATCTCAGTATCCATTATTCTATAATGTTGATTCTCTCTCCTTTCCCATATTTTAGTCAGATTCCTCCATCCCCTCTTTTCAGCTAGGCTTCCACCTTAGGCCCTGTATTCTCTTTGGTTGTCTAACCTAATCTTAGCAAGTATCCTGCTAACTTAGTTTAGTAAGAATCTTCCCAGCCTTCAAGTAACTCCCTCACTTTGCTTCTTGGCTTCCCTAACTATCTTTGCTGATTTGGGAGCTGAATTTGATCTCTCTCTCTTCTGTTATAATGCCCCATAGTACCCGTCTTAAAGTCTTCCTGTTTCAGTAAACTCCAGTTCTACAGGATCCGACGCCCTCTTCTGGCCTCTGTGGGCATTATATCCATGTAGTGCACCTAGATACATGTAGGCAAAACACTCCACATAAAAATATATTTTAAAATTTTAAAACCCAATGCTTTCAAAGTTAGTTTTGTATATTTTTTCATACTTGTATAGTTGTTGGAGTTAGTGAGATATGAATTGCTACATTATAGCTAAAGCCAAACATTACTTATTTCTGTAACAAGAATGCATTACTTTAAAACTTTCTTTTAAAAACAGTAATAGCATATGGAACTTGTTTTCTTCGTAGGTTAATTTTTTTTTTTTTATGTGTGTGTAAGAGGACAAAGGTTCTGTCTGTCCACTGGTGTGTTCTAGGGATTGAACCTAGGTCTTCAGGATTGGATACAAGGGCCTTTACCCACTGAGCCATCTATTTGTAAAGTTCTACAATAGATAATTGAATGGCCTAGATTCACTGGACTATTAACTTTTTTTCTGATATGTTCAAAACTAAGAGCTTTTTATACTTTTAATCTCCATAAAATACGGAAACAAAAATGTTCCTTTTTTGGTTTCAAAGCATCAGCTTGAATTTGTTTTCCAATTCTACTTAGAAATCCAGGTTTAGGATCCTTAGATTAGTTGGCATTTGTGAACTAGAAGGTTTTCCTACAAATAGGTTGTTTCTATATTTTTTCACCCAGTAAAGAACTATTTCCTGGGTCTCTTCTGCCTGTAACAGCACACTTGTCTGGGGATCTGCTTCACTGCAGTGCTGACCATTTACACTGACACACTCGGTAGAAGAGTAACACAGTTGAAGGGAATTTTATTTATTTAGTTATTATCTATCGATCATCGGTTTATTTCCATCCACCCATCTATCCATTTGGGGGGGAGAGATAAACAAGGTCTCTCTCTTTTTGTAGCCCAGACTGGCCTCCAACTTGCAGCAATCTTCCTGCCTCAGCCTCCCAAACTGCTGGGATTAAAGGCGTGGACGGACTCCAGCTTAGTTTGCAGTGTAGGAATTGGAAACAAGGGCTCGGACTGGGTTTAGCAGGATGGTCTTCAACCAGAGGCGGAAACTGGAGAAAATATCTGGGCGTATGGGAGGCGGGAGAGAGCCAGAGGGGTAAGGGACCTAAAGACGTTGGGGGACCTCAGTGGGGTTCCGAGTCTCCTTAGAGGGGATTCCAGAGGCCGTGGCCATTATCCAGCCTGGGGTGCAGCACTTTGAGGAGTCATAGTGGCTCTTCCCCGTACACGCCCTTACCATGCCCTCCAGGCCCTTCCGAGTCGTGGCGAGAACCGCTCCAACGGGAGGCCAGGGCTGCGTCCTCGCGCGGGAACCGGTGAGAGGCCTCCTCCTCAGCACCTTGGCCCAGCGCCTCAGCAACGCCGCCGGGCGGGACGCGGCTCAGTCAGAACAGGCGGGGGCGCGCACGCGCCGGAAGCGCCTTTCCCGGAAGGCTGGGGGGCGGCGCCGGCCTCCGGTGCCTCGGGGATGGCTGCGGCGCACCGGGCGGTCGCTCTCTGAGCTGAGCTGCGCCGCGGGAGGATGGCCTCGCTCGGATCGGCCGCGGCGGGGGAGCAGGCGGCTGGGGCTGAGGCGGAGCTGGGCCCTCCGGCCCAGCAGCCCCCGCCTCCCGCTCCGTCGCCGTCCGCCCTCGGGCCGCTCCTGCCGCTGCAGCGTGAGCCGCTTTACAACTGGCAGGCAACCAAAGCGTCGCTGAAGGAGCGCTTCGCCTTCCTCTTCAATTCCGAGCTGCTCAGCGATGTGCGCTTCGTGCTCGGCAAGGGCCGCGGTGTCGCGGCCGCCGGGGGTCCGCAGCGCATCCCCGCCCACCGCTTCGTACTGGCGGCGGGCAGCGCGGTCTTCGACGCCATGTTCAACGGCGGCATGGCCACAACGTCGGCGGAGATCGAGCTGCCGGACGTGGAGCCCGCCGCCTTCCTGGCGCTGCTGAGGTGAGGGGCGGGCGCGCGGAAGGCCGCCTGGGGGTAGGCGACATTAGCCGCCCTGCTGCCACCTGGGTGACCTTGGGCCGGCCTCCCTCGCCGCCTCCCCAGCCCCGGGATGCTCCGGCTGAATGTCAAGTCGCCCCCCTGGAAGGGCGATCTCACATGCTGGGACCGGAATTGTCACCTGGCTGCAGAATTAAGTCATCATAATAGAGACCGGGGCAGGTGGGCCCGATTGCCCACTTGCAAGGCTTCAGTAGTCGAGCCTGGCAGGGCTGGTGTTTACTACGGGCTCTTTCACATATTTGTAATTTAACTAACGTAGGAGTTGTCAAGATGTATGAGTTGTCAAGACCCAGGACAAGAAGTCGTTGCTGACCTGACCCGCCTTGTGTTTCTGCAGACAAGGTCACATTTGCTCCGTAGTATACCACACCACTGGCATTACGAGTTTGCTTTTGATTATCTGAAGGTACTAGATTGACATCTGATGAATTTTCTTTGATGGAAGGGAGCAGCACTTTGGCATTATTTGTTTTTAATCACAACAGTCCTGTTAGGGAGGTGTAGGTGTTGTTTATCCCAGTTTTACAAATGGGACTGAGGCCCAAAAGTCAAGTAACTGGTCCAAGGTAAACCGAGCTCCCAGAAGACCATGTGTGTTTCATTATACCAAGATGGTTTTGGCTGCCTAAGTAGCTGTTGTTTTAGAGGGCTGAGTAATTCTGATATTAAAAAACAGGCAGGTCAGTGGAAAGGGGAGTCCACAAAGATTCTCAGCTTCACCAAGAAGACAGGTAGGTCCCATTAATAAATGAAAAAAGGAAAAATAAATAAATAGGAAAAAAAACCCTAAAGAATATTTAACCTTAGTAGTAAATAAGGAAGTGAAAGTTAAAACAAGTATTTTTGCCATTCCATTATACCCACCTTTTTTTTAAGACATGGTTTCACTATTTAGCCCTTGGTAACCTGGAACTCTTATGTTAGACCAGGCTGGCCTTGAACTCACAGAGATCTGCCTGCCTCTGCCTCCCAAGTGCTGGGATTAAAGGCTGGGATTAAAGGTGTGTGCCACCCCCATTTTTACACATAACTGTTGAGGGATATTTTGTGGTCCAAGAACCCCTTTGGAAAATCGTTTGACCCCCTTAGATTTTTCTTTCTGTACTTAGTGATAGAGCCACTTGATGGAATATAATGCAATCACAGTGATGTTTAGGAAGACTATGTAGTAATATGAGGCATGTTTATAACAAATCACATTTTGAGTTCTATGCATTGTGATTACTGTGAAAAGAAATGGAACAAACATGTATCTGGAGCTAAGGAAACAAATGTCAAATATGTTCCTATATTTTCTAGCATTTAATTCAGTTGTATGTGGGGATGGGAGCAGGACAACCTCAAGATCAGTATCTAGGTCATTTGTGTTTTTAAAGTTGACCAGGAGGACTGGATATAGCTTGTTTAAATTATATAGGTTAGAAGTCTTTCAAAATGATAGAGTCAGAGCGATGACACAGTGGGTGAAGGTGCCTGTCACCAAGACCTGAGTCAGGTCCTGGAACCCTCTTGGTGGAAGGAGAGAATGACTCCTACAAGTTGTCTTCTGACCTCCACACATCCGCCCATACATATGCACACATAAGTATAAAAACAAATAACAAGATGATCCTTGGGCCACCTGCATTGTAATCCACTGGGATGTTTGCTAAGTTTATAGATGCCTTCCTCTCCTTTTGGTATCATTTGAGATGAAATCTTGAAGCATTTTCAATATTTTTTCTAAGTGATATTTATACTTAAATTTGAGAATTACCAAGCTAAAAACATTGGGCACCCTTTGAAAAAGTATTGAGATTGCTAAGGTAGAATTGTGTGGGTAGGGGCAAAGAGGCCTATTTCATACTTGCTCTTTGTTTCCTATTACATGTTTTCATTGAATCTACTAATCAGTCTTTAATAGACAAATAGGTTAACTTTAAAGCCCTTAAAATATAAAGTGCCATTTGGATTCTCCTTTTCTGTTGTAGGTATATTAAATATTTTCATGGTATTCATCAAGTTCTGGTATTTTTCTATTCTGAAATCATAATCTGTACTAATTTTTACTTAGGCATTTGATTAGCTTTGAAACATAGATTTTATACTATTGTGGGATAAAAAGATAATGTGATAGAACCTGCTGAGTTGGAAAAGTAAGGAAGCTGGGACATACTTTTATTGTTTTTGCAACTTAAATTAGTTAACATTATTTAACAGGCTTATAAACTTAGGTTTCAAACCCTTTAAGAAACTGCTCACTTGGAACTCTGTCTTTTAAATGATATTCTTGTGCATTTGACAAATATTGTGTCTCCCTGTGCAACTTACCTTTCAGTGTTTGGGATACAGTGGTGAACAAGTAAGTCCCTACTTTCATGAAGGAAATAATCTAGTAAAGGGAAACTAGGACAAAATAAATTAAGAACTGATGAGTGTTTTGAAGAAAAATGGTCAAACCATGAGAATAGGAACATTCTAAGGAAAGAAAAAAAGCATGTTGTAGGCCTTGAGTTTCTCATATCAGTGTGATTGAGCAGAGTAAGAGGAAAGTGGTAGTAGGTGAAAAGATGAACCAAGCAGGATCATTCAGGGATTGAGTTCCATGTGGGATGTGAGGAAAAACTTGTGGAGGGTTTTCAGTATGTGAATGCTGTGACCCTATTTTTACATTGAAAAAAAAAAAAAAAAACCCAACTCAACAGATTGCTATTTGGAGATCAAGCAGAAACAGGAAATAGGATAATGAAATAAAAGGCTTTTGTTGTAGTCTACCTAGATGGCAGATGATGGTGAGCTACCAGGGAGAGAGCATGGACCTGATGAGAGGTTCTGGTTATATTTTGAAGGTAGAATCAGAAGGACTTTCAAGATAATCTAGTAGGAATGTAGAATAGACAGATAGGACTCTGGAGTTTAGAGAAGTGCTTCTGCCTGAGTATAATTTGAAAGTTAAGAATGAATGATATTTAAATGATCTGACAGATGAGATTAGCTTAGAGGAGGGAGTTGATTGTGAATAGAGATGCAGGGATGAGCCTGGGATCTGGCAGTCCATAGAGAATTAGTGGAAGAGAAGAAGCGTGGCATGAAGCGGGCAGCTGTCAGTAGAATGAGAAGGGAAAGCATGAGCCTAGTATCCTAAACATCAAATCAAAGAGCATGTTTGAAAAATGAGGGAGTGGAAAATTTTGTCAGCTATAGAAAGTGGTTAGCTATGTTAAATGTCACTGTGAGCTGAGTAAAATGACACTGAATTCATGATGAGTTTTGACAAGATTAAGCTATAGATTGGGGGGGGGCACCAGTGTGTTCTTATTCATGTTTCGGTGAGTCAGAGGAGTGATTTGTGGCTTTTATTTCAAATTACAGTTTGGCATTCTTCTCTTCTATAGACTTTGCAATTCTGGACCCCTCCTGGGGATTCTACACTTTTTTTTCCTCCTATATTTTAAAATTGAATTTTTTTGACCTTCATACAGTATAGTTTGATGATATTTAGATCCCCTCCCCTGTATCTTTAGACTTCCTTGTTCATGCTGTTAGCATTTCTCTCTCTAGAACTCACATAACCAAAGGATTTATTCTGAATCTTTTAGTGACTTCTTTTGTCTATAGAATGAAGTTTGAATACTTTGCAGGTATTCAAGGCCCTCTCCTCAATGTCCCAACATAATTACTGGTAGCCTTTTCTTTATTTTAATGCCTGCTTTCTAAGGCCTCTTTCCATTCTTACCATACTGGATTTCTACCTAAAAGACACTAATTATTTCCTTTTCCCCACAGGCAGAATTGTACACCGCTTATCTAATCCCTTATGGCATGTTTTGGTTACTTGGTGCCCCAGAACAAACCACTCCAACACCTGGTGGGATGATTGGGATCACTTGGGTGGTGTGTTTGGTATCTTTATCGTTTCTTGCAGTGTTCTAGATAGCATCTAAGGCTAGTGTCATTTGGAGGGCTGACTCAGATTCTGGGATGACTTTCATGTAGTCTCAACTCCTTTCCTTGTGCCTCTCTAGCTGGTCACTTCAGCAGAGGAGCTTGATTTCTTGGGCCATGCCTTTTGAGCAAAAAGAGGGGCTGCTAAGTATCAGTGCCTAAAGAATGTGTCTGTTATGATAGTATTTTTTAAACATTTCACTTTCAAACTACATATTTGTTATAGGCACATATCTTACCTATATTTATAACTCTGGTATCTATCACAATGTCTAATAATATATATGAGCCCTCAAAAAATGCTTTTGAATAAAATGGATCATTGTGATACTAAGATCTTGAGGGTTTTTTCCTAATATAAAGTCAACTCTTCACTTAGCAGCTTAAAGATATTTTAATACAGGGCTGGAGGAATGACTTAGATGGAAAAGTACTTGCCTTACAAGCAGCCTTACAAGCATGAGGACCTGAACTTGATTCCTAGAACCCACATAAAAATGACAGATGTGGTGGCTGGGGCTTTCTGGCCAGCCACCTTATAATTGATGAGCTCCAGGCCAGTGAGAGACCTTCAAAGGAGATGAATGGTTTTCCTGGATATGACAACTCAGGTTGTCCTCTGGTCTCTACACACACCCATACACACAGTTGTGCCCACACCCACACGTGAACATGCACACATCAGTAACAATTTTTTTTTAATTAGCTAGGTGAGATACACCTATCACCCCAGCACTTGGGAGGTGGAAGCAGGAGGATTGGGAATTCAAGGCTTGAGACTTGGCTACATGAGACCCATGTTAAAAAAAAAAAAAGTTAATTAGACTTAAATATAGCCTTTTAAAAAATCTTTTTGGAAAATGATTTTGGGGAGAAAATAAGAAACATAGTTTGATGACATAGAATCATTTATTTGCTTTTGTCCTTAAAGATGGAATGTGGGAACTTAAGTTGTAACTTTAAAATACAAAGAATTGAGCCTGTGTTAATAGTGCTTGCCACACAAGCCTGATAAC